TTTTTTTTTGGGGGGGGGGGGGCGGATCTGTAATAAGGAACCATGCCAGAATTGGGAAGCTAACATCCGCAAACCACGACCTCGCACTAAACCCGACCATACCAGGCTGGCAACTAGATGTTGCTTGCTGTTGCTTGTGTGCTCTTGGGGTTTAGGGCTTAGGGTCTAGGGTAGTGTATCCCAGACTAGTCCACAAAGCGTAAGATTTGTAAACTGTGGTTTCAGGGTTTGAGTTTACGGGATGGGTTGCGGATTGTTGTTATGTCAGAGCCCTGTTTGACTTTTGCCAGGTACGTCAGAAGCCACAACGCCGAAACATCCTAAGCACCTAAACTCCTAGACTTCTCGCACACTCCCTAAACCCTGAACCCCGTAAAACCCTAAACCCTAAACCCCATTACAAACCCCTAAAGGGCCCTAAGTACCTGTATAGTAGAATGTAGGATTTCTATATGATAACTGCCGTTCCCAAAGGGTCCTCAGTACTTATATGGCGGATACTTGCCCTAGCCATAATAGCAGTTCCTATTATTTATAGAAACCCGACCTTCTGCGATGTATAGTGAACCCCTGAAAGGGTTTAGGGTTTGGGGTTTGGGGTTTTAGGGTTTAGGGTTTTAGGGTTTAGGGTTTTAGGGTTTAGGTTTTGTGTCTTGGGTTTAGGGTTTTGGGTTTAGGGTTAAGGGTTTTAGGGTTTAGGGTTCGGGGTTTAGGGTTTGGAACGTGAGTTAAGGATGACTAGTGCTGGGATTCCCTTATACTTTACCTTAAGGCCATGAGGATAATGATGTTCCAACTTTCTGGCTTCTACCTAAACCCTGAACGCTAAACCCTCAACCCTCAACCTGAAACCCGGTACATAGGATCCTTTGAGGACGATGATTTGGGGAATTACCCGCTGTAACAGTCACAGTACCTGGGATTTTTGGGGAACGGCAAATGGGGCCCACGGCGCTAGGGTTTAGCGGGTTTCGAGTTTAGGGTTGAGGGTTGAACCTAAACCCTAAACCCTAAAGCCCTAAACCCAAAGCCCTAGAAGCCCCAAGCCCTAAACCCAAATAAAGTTCAGAGTTCAGGGTTTAGGGTTTAGGCAGTCTTCCAGCCCTGGTCCTTTGCCACTCGGTTTGCCTTGTGCGGACAGGCAAGATCGCTGCTTCTGACGCCAGGGCAAGCGAGACAGCAAACGAGCGAGGAAAACATGGATTATGTATGAAGTGATGGCTGTTTGGGGTTTAGGGCAGGGGCCACCCATCCATTATAAATGCCATCTCTTAAGCCCCGGTGTTGGTATTGATGGTAGTCAAATACCCTAAACCCTAAACCCTAAACCCTAGTCAAATGTCCACGTTAGTAGTCATGGCTTGAACAGCGAGCCCAGATGCAGAGACACAGTCTAGAGTCTTCGATTTACTGAAGAAGCCCGATACATTGTTACTGGTCCTTAAGGTTCCGATTGTAATATCCTAAACCCTAAACCCTATACCCTAAACCCTAACCCCCCCCCAAA